TACCTTTTTTTGTACCAAATGAACATATACAATGTAATATAATTTGGTTAAAAAAAGAAACCTACAGTGCGCATTAAATTGATATATTAAGTTGCTCTGTTAAGAGAAAAAAAGAATTATTTAGAAGAACAAAAATTGAGAATTCGGCGCGTGTGTATGGGTAAGACGGGTAAGTAAATCTTTTGTCTGTTTTTGCGGAAAACTTTTAAGGCTCCTTTTTATAATCATTATACAGATGTTCCCTTAATCGATAACTTGAGATTCTTTGGTAAGGATTCCAACCTCTCTCTTTTGATTGAATTAGTAAAAATAAGCTTTCCTAGAAATAACTCATAATCTTTAAATTTTAACACCTATGACATAGATTTTTCGCAGTGATAGTTTAGAAACTTTGAAGGAAGAAATTATTTTCTTTAAATATCAGCATTTTTTGAAGTTTATAATATGTTGTACTTTAAAATTATATTGTTTTTAACACAGGAAGTTTTACTCTTTATATAAGTTGCAGAATTTTCTCGTTGCGTAAGAATTTTTTTCTTATAAGTTAAATGTTTTTTACATTAACTATTTGACCTACAGATTTAACAACAACGACATTGCATTTCGATATTTCCAACCTATTAAAGCTCATCAAAAGATTGAAATTAATTGAAGAAATATAAGCTATCACTTAATTTCACTTAAGGTTAAATTTTTGAATGGGTTATATAATTTTAAAAAACTTTCGCTTTTCCACTGCATTCTGTCATCGCGTAACTGGTAATATGTCCGGCTGCATCGGAAAATCTGAAGTTAGAATCTCGGCGGGGGCATAGTTTATTTTCTCTCTTTCTTGCTCTGAAAAAATCTAAAAGCCTTGCAAAGGCATCCAACTAATACGCATTCAGGATAATTTGTCACCAAATTTGACTGATTGGAACTCATCCCTCTCTTCTCTCTCTGTTTCAGCGGGGGAGAATGTAAGGAATTTTCGCCTTTCCTACTGTTTACTCTCGTGGTGTAAATGATAGCACAATTGATTAAAAATTGAATGATCAAGACTTCGAAATCTCGAGGGAGCACTGTTGATTTTTCTGTATTTTCTTCTTCGGAGGAGGGAAAAAAAAAGACAAACTACAACAACAGCGAGAAAAATAGCTATTGGCTCTATCTTTTCTTAATATGATAATTTAGAATGTATTACTCAAGCTTTAAAATAAGCAAGTCTGCACGAAATTGATCTAGCTAGTAGCTGGAGACAATTTATCCCTATGTTCTGTTTAATGATTTGAAATTTTTTTCTTAAAGTGTCTCTGTCAATAAATTCGAGAAACAAACGTATGTTAATTATAGATATTCTTCTATCTATTTTCTTTTACTGGCTATGCACGTTAGTATCTGTGAAATAGATTTAAAATCCACAATACGGGCAACTAGTTAACTTCCATAAAACCTGAAATCGCTGCATTAAAGAATCCATTTTGTAACCAGTTTTCGGTTGATAAATTTCTCAATAATTCTCTAGACTTGACTGGTTTTTGATTATATGACATGATTGCTTGTGAACGAGAATATTATTGTTGCCCAACCGCAATGTCTTTTAATATGTACTTGACTTTTATTTTATTTCAAGCACTTTTATCAATGTTTTCTGCTTACAGTTTTCTCGTGAAACTTCAGCCGTATCAAGCCAAGCATTAATCCATCGCTTTTATTACGTACTACAATGTTTCCTGATTTTGTCGACTAGGATTATCTTTTAAGTTGTTTACAAAACAAGTAAATAAAACGTCCTGTCACAGGATATGAGAATAAGATTGGATGAGAAGATTATTTATTTTATTTAAATTCTGTTTCGAAATGAAAGAATATTTTGTATCAGATTGCACAACGTTAATTCCCATTCATAATCAGTCAAAAATATGATTTTAATTTTTTATCAGTTCTAGTTCTTATTTTTATCTTTCTATATATGCTATCACTGCTTAGAATAAAATAGAGTGTAAAAATGTAGGCAAATTTTAGAAGAATTTTTTGCATGGAGATTTCCTCTTTCTGAGCATCACAGAGCGCAGTTTATTAAATCATGAGTTTTTTCCTCTTATTAATGAACTCAGAGAGTACCATGCTTCCATCTAAACAAAGTTAGGAAATAATTATAGAAAAAGGTTTCTTCAGGCAAAAAATTGCAATTTAGATGGAAGTCAATTTACAAGAGGTGGTATTCAATAGCGATTAATGCAATTTCTTTTGATTTTGATGTGGAAGATTTTTTGCTCAGTTTCATTAGAAGAAGGATGCGAAGAATTTTCTGTCTATGTTAAAAAAGTTCTAACATTTTTTTCTGGCCTTTGAGATTCTTAAAATGAAGCTTCATTTAATTTCCTATTTTTAAGCCGTAACTTAGTTAAAAAAGGCCACATAGCAATCCACTGTAACATCTCTAATTTTGCTGTATATAAACATTTTGAAAAAGGCTTCTAAATCTGGTTGCATTTAGACCCTTATTCACAAGTAAACAAACTTCCATAAAGTAAAGGAACAAAGCGCGAAAATTCATAGACCACAGTCATAATTCTCCATATATATTTGACACACCAAAGCTTTTTTTTTCTCCTTCTTATCAACAGATTTGAAATTTGTTTTAAAGTTCAAACACTGCAGAGTTTATTGAAACCTTTGTCATTTTAATTTATTATATATTACAAAAACTAGAAAATTATTAGTGTTTTACCCATCACTGCATAAAATCATGCTTGGAAAGAAGAATTAGCCACCTACGAGTATAAAAGTATAAGCCTTCAATCAAACTTGTTCCTTTCCGATAATGTATTTCTCCAACCAAGATTATCCAAAATATTCTCCGCCTGTTTCGGAACTATTTTCTGTAAAGCTTTCTATTTTTATATTTCATAATAATAGCAATTTAAACGATATCCTTCCTTTTACAATGTTAATTTTATTAATTTTTTTCCTCATTCGAAAAAAGAGCGTCACGTTTTATGCACATAACCTTTTGATATAATTTCGCCGTCCAGCTGGTATGGTGGTTAGTGATCTTGGCTGCCGTAGCAATGGGCCCAGTTTTGAATCTTGGAGAAGGCCTGGTTCCTATGAAAAATGGAAATGATGATGGGACCTCCTATGAAATCCTCCTGTGATGGGACTGTCTGTCCCATCATAGGACTCAACCGTGGCCACCTATTAGGTGCTTCCATAATGAAATGGCCACCATTTTCTGCCCTTGTAGTGGCGCAAGGATAATGGCTATTAAATAAAGCGCCCAGGCATTAAAAAAATTGCAGACATTTCTAAGCATATTTCTGTTGAATTTTATCCTCCCTCTCCGTAAAGTCTTCCCTTAGTAAGTATTAATATATAAGGTTGTTTCTAGTGTTCTCAAAGTACTCTTGATCATTAAAGTAACATAAAACAAAGCTAATTAAAAGTAAACCTTTTCATCAAACTTTATTAGTTACAAAGCTTGTATGATTGCAGTTAAATCATAATAAATAAATAATTACAATAGAATAAATAATTTAAAAAAAAGCCTGATTCTCTTTGAATGTTAAATAAACTTTTATTCTTTCACATCGTTTCTAAATTTTCAGAATAATCTTACAGTCTTCTTGGACTAAATAATAAGACGTGAATGATGAATATAATAACAAGCTATGTCACAGATTTTATGTCTCTTAAATATGTATATTTTCTACAATAACTCTGAATGCGATACAAAATCTTGAAATTAATAATATCGCTATTAGAAATAATAATCGAAGTGATTTCAAGAACAGATGATGCTTTAGTCATGTCAACAACAACAACAAAAACCAAAAAAAATTGACAGAATGTCTTTTTATCAAGATTTATGGTTAAATTTTCCATTTTTCATAGATTATTTTGTTTCCCATATTTATTTTAATTGATAGAGAATCATAAAAATGTTTAAAAAAAACGAAAAAGCTTCGTCGTCGAATTGGCAAGTGTCGCGAAGGAAGGGGATAATTGAAAATAATTTGTATTTAGGAAATAAGCCACCAGGAAAGTCTCTTATACTTTAATTGCTATGAGCAGTATTTAAGTCTTCTGCAATTAAGTTTTAAATCATCTCTTGTTTGAAATGTATTGATTTTTACATTTTTTGTTTGCCTTCTCAGCGAGATTTTCATTACTAAAATTTTTAGGATTTCCTTCGAGATGATGGTTAATGTTTTAAATTTTCGGCGGACAGAGCTCTTAATGATCGTACAATGGAATTCAAAGCGTCATGAAGAGTAGCTCATAACTAATCTCATTTGATTGGACTAGTCTTTTTAGTATTTTTTTTTTGCCCAAGTCCTCCTTCCAAAAATATGTGGGGAGGGGATAGAAGAAATTAAACGCATTTCTTTCATGTGTCTTTATAATAGTAATTAGCACCACTAGCTAACAACCGAAAAGTTTCAGATTCAGTTCCTGGTATAGTTAAATTTTCAAAGTCACTACTCATGTAGACGCACGCCTCTACACAAGCACTAACTCACAAAATAATAACTTTATAACAAATTTTACTTACGAGTAGACTGACTTGTGTCATATGTGTACATATATATATAATACGTGCACTTGTATGGTAAATTCAGTTATTTGCCATTCTAAGTTATGCTCGTATAAATTTCTAAGGTTTATTTATGTTGTCTGCATATGTATGTACGCGTGCCCTGGCGTATAACTGTTATATTCGCCTGTATATTTGCGCAGATTTTCTATACTTTCATTTGTATTTACAGGTATCTTATAATTAACGTGTATGCATTTATTAGTCTCTCAATATTATTTAAATGTGTATGCATGTGGCACTAACACGTATGCCTACATGTTTCTGTTTCATGTGTTAATTAGAGTATACTTAACTACATCTATATTACTATTTGCACGCTGTATTGCACAGGAAATATTTTATAATAGAATGTTTCAAAGAAAAATATTCCAACAATTAACTGATTTCAGGTTTCTTACATAAACGTTTATTTTTATAGGCTTACTAAGCAGCTCTAACTCTAGTAGAGGCATGGGCTGTGCGGCCTCCAAAGCAGTGCCCCCGGCGCCCAGTTCTACCGAGTCAGGTTTGCCGATCTTTTGGTATTTTTTTGTTTGAAATGTTTTCCTGATATATAATTCGAGATGAAATTGTTGGTATTGAAAATTAGGCATTTGTAAGTGCATCGCTATACAAAATGCATTTATATTATCAATTAATATTGTAATTCAGCACTTAAATCCGACCAAAATCAAAACTAATAATAATATTAGCATAATATTAACATAACAATAATGTTAAAAAAATGAAAGCATCTGTAGAAAAAGAGTATTATTACGTAATATTTACATTATAAGTGCAATAAAAAGTTAAAAAATAAGTCAGTGTTTGAATTTCTGTTGTATGGTGTATTTTCCTAGAAAATTATTACTGAACTTCGTAATATACTTTTTAGTATATTTATCGCAGTATAGCACATGAAAACGTATTTACTGCAGAAAAGTATATGATTAGCACTGTTGTCTCCTGTAGTAGTTGCTGGCTGAATACTCGACATCGTACAGTTGCAGTTCTTCAGGTTCATTGCTGACAGAATGTTTTTATCTAACAGATGCACTAATTACTTTTTTAATCATTAGATTTGTCATATATCTTCTAAATATCGATCTTCTCCTGATCGAAGTTGAAACACAAAATTGAAAGCTTAACATATAGACCTGTGTATCTGATTTTATGCAGTAGTAGTGCAACAATCCATACACGCTTTGTGTGATAAATGAGGAGAATCCTCGAAGTTCCGTTTTTGATGCAGAAAATTACTCGTCCGTTGGTTAAGGCAAGCTTACAGGACCAGCAGTTTTTTGCTAAGACTGCCAGTAACTTCTGTATAACACCAGTATATGCACGCAATGCAAGTTGAGTACTTGCGATGGTTTTTACCAGAGCTTCAGAGACGTGGGTGGTTCTCCTTGTTTATCTCAATTTTATTACAGCAATGATAGTTATAGAGTGAAAGTCTGTAGGTGATATGGTAATCGGGCGGATACTTCTACTATTATTGGATACCACTCATATTATTAAAGAAAGCTTTATATACTTTAACCCATCAAAACTCGTCGTTTTTTCTAGTTTTATAAGAATTTCGTTATGTGTTTATCATTGGAAAATTTCATTTTTAAAAACATTACTCACATTTCAGAATTATGAATATTACTTCGTTTGATTATTTTCTCAGATTTTTGTATATTTAAATCCATGAGTAACATAAAACAAAACATTCAGAGTTATGTATCTTTTAATAGTATCCCTTGACTGACTTAAATTTTTCAACAATAAAATAACAAACTAATAATTATATGGCGGTTAATTTATGATTTATCCCTTATTATGTAAAATACGATACCTTTTATATTTGAAGTATCTTTTTAGTTTGGAGGATGAAGACTGTTATTTGTCATTCCATTCATTCCGAAAATACAATGGCTTACTAGAACTGGGAAATCAATTCAACAATCAATATTTAGGTTACCTAAATAATATGACGAGAGTCTGCTTTGTGACGCTGATGGTTGCTATCTCATTTGCATAAATAAATAGATCCATATTTGATCGATTTATTGAACTCTTCGAATAGGGGTTTCGATGACAGGAACCACACGTCTATGAATATATTTGGTATTGTCGAATATGAAAATTGTTTCATAGCGTATAATATCTTTAAACATATTATTAAATCACATTCTATGGCGCCCTTTTTTTGGAAATTGTTGTAGAATTATTAACAATTTAAGTTATAAATAAAAATTTTATTTTAATTTTTTGAAGGCCATCGTTAAAACATTCTGAGAGTAAGCTAATAAATAAATAAAGCTAAAATATTGCATAAAGTAAAATAACTTTGTTACAAAGCGGAAAGCATAGGAATATCATTATATCATCTTAAGACATACATTATTTAAGACATACATTTATTAAACGGTCTTGTATTTTATTCTATCAGATGATCTGAATTTCTCCGTTATTCAGTAAACCGCATATATTTTGAAACCGTGTAAGGTATTTTATCTTACTTTGCGCATGCCTTCGTGGTTTAACTAGAAGCAAGCTCGATGCGTATTCGCCAGGTCCTGAGTTCGAATCCTGGCGACGGCGTTGAACATTTTCACATTTGAGGATCTATAAATCTAATGACTCTACAACCGCATGAAAAAACGCGCTCTGTTTCACACAATGGATTAAAACTCCTTGTAAAGCATTGTTTGTGTATCTTGCATGTATCTACTCACTATATCTTACTCACATACATATTTAAAAACATCTGATGTGGACACCACATGACCTCCTTGTATGGCCTATTAAATTATACACATTTTTGGTGCCTTTCATTTAAACTTATTCCCTCGAATTTAACTAGAGATATATTTCTCATTCAATTAATTCAGTTCTCACTTCGCGGGAAAGCAAAATTTGCAAAAATACATAAAAATGCAAAATTTCTTCATTAAAAATTGTAAAATATAGGAAAAAATAAAACACCAAATACAATTAAAACAGTTAAAAAGCAATTTTTACAGTTAAAACTAGAATTTCTAAGCAAAAACAATCATTTCAACCAGCGGACAAGATTACAGAGTTTCTGGTGCACAAAACTGAAAGTTTACTTTTGGTCCCATTCGGGAAAAAGACTCTGAAGGTGCAGAAAGTGACTTCATTCACTATTCTACTGAGTTTCAAATGTAAACAAATGGCGGTTCGTTAGGCTACTTAAATTTTAAATTGTTGATAATTCTACAAGAATTGCATGCAACTTAACTAAAGGCATAAAAACCGTAACCGGAACATAAAAACTACATTATTCAATAATATTTAAAGCATGCACAATTTACCAATATTAAGGAAAAAAAACTAAGCTCACCGAGCCCAGTTACAGAGTGTGAATACATATATATATGACTGGGGCAGCCGATTGCAACGAAAAAGGGAGGTGCACAACTACATGTTATAGTAGTCCCATATACAAAATTTCAACGCTTTACAACTGCTCGTTTTGAGTTATGCGAGATGCATCCATACGTACGTACGTATGTACGGGCCGAAGTCAAGAAAAAATCTCTTCTGAATCCATTTTACAACCTTTTTTTGGCAAAAACAGTCCTTTACTCTATCCGTACGTACAGATGCCACGCAAACACATGGTTTCGGGAGCAGTTGAAATGGAAATTTTCATTCAAATATGATACCTGAAATTTTTCGCTATTGGTGTGCGTCTTTTACTTCGTACTAGGAAGTAAAAGTTAACTTACAGTAGAGAGCAGTTTTAATGCTGTTAGTTATAGTATGTCAAAAATCATTATTTTCCCTTTTTATAAATGATATAGTACTTTTACTGAATATTTTTATTTTGTCAGTACCCCTTTTACTGAATGATATAGCACTGATATAATAAACAAGATTCCAGAAAATGCAATACGCGCAATGGACATACTTACTAAATTTGCTCACAGTTGTTTTCACGTTTTCGATTAACTTTACCCACAGCCGTATTTTCGTATAACGTATATTTCTATTCCAGGGTTATGGAACATAAATGGTAGAGAATGACAAAGATATGTGCAACTCTGGAGATATCTGTCTACTTTTATAAATTATACTTAACACAGTGAAACTCTTATAGGTTTTTTGGAATAGGAAATATGAAAAATTAATTATATCCTTGCCCGAATGAGAATATGGATCTTTGTGCTAATCACTTACAACCGAAAAGGACGCAAGGGATGCGCAATAATTCCTTACATTCCCTTTTAAAGATCGACTTAGGAGCACGAGACCTAGTCTTTCAAATCCAAATGATAAATACATAGCTTTCAGCCAACACATTTTTTCGGCTAGAGTCCACTGTAGGTACTTCTGAGCTTTTTGGTATGGTAAATAAGGAAAATCAGTTGTGCCTTTCCCGGGATTTGAATCCCAGATATCCTGATTGTCAGTTAGGCATATTAATCATTTAATCATAAGAGCAGACAAGAGGGGTATGATATTTCCTTAAAAACATATTTGTCGATATTAATCAATCAAGAATTAATTAATTTTTTAAATCAGGTACAAAATTAGAGATATATTTCGAAGATACATATCGAATAATACTATGCGTCAGTTAGCCTAATTATTTTCGACCTGCATATAATTAGAATCCCTTTAGTTAAATTCACGGCAAATATGGTATCTCATTTGCCTGTGAGATCACCGTATAAGCAAAATAATTTCATTTAGATTATTTCCATCAAACGGCATGATATCAAGATACCTATTATTATTAAAACTGCTATTATGTACTTCTTTTATTCCTTTCGTGCAAGGAACAGGTGTTCATTCCATGGTTGAGTCAAATCAGGATTTCTGGACCCATTTTTACCTCAGAATTTTTCATTTTGGATCCAACTGGTCGAAACGAAACAGCTATTTTACATACGCAATTTAGATAACTTTCCACGTATCTTAATAGCATCTATTTTCAGGTATGATAATTTCAGAATTATAAATTATAAAAAATCGTTGCCAGTTTTATCTTTCGCACAAATGTTAAGTTGCACTCTCATGTAAAGATGTTCTAACGTCTAGACTGTAACTGATACATGTCCTAACGTTTCTTCCTCATTTATCAAATGAATTTATTCACAAAAGGTATTGTTCGAAAATCCATAGTAGATAAAACATCTGTTGACCAAGTGGCGACTTTAGAATAAATGAACAAATTGTCCGTTGAAAGAATTCCTGCACAATCTCAATTTATAAAATAAGCTACTATGATTTGCAGTCATCTTTTAGTATCAACAGAAAGACGGATACATAGACATTTTCGGATTTCATCAAAATCTCTTTTTGCTTATTCAGTAAAATTATATTATTAACCATGATTAATTTTTTGTAATATAAAATTTACGATGCATAATGGTACAAATTTAATTTGGACTTAACTGCATTCTGGCATATTATCGACATTTCTGCTAGAATTATCAGAACTTCTTGGAACGAATTCATCATGATGATTCAAAGACACGACAAAATGTTCATTTGGCAGATCATTGC